CTAGGATAATTGTACTACTAATATCTGTTGGTTTAATGAAAGGAACTGTTAATGTGTAATTGTTTGATCAACCTTACATATCTATATCTGGTTATCTGTGCAATCTTTTTGAAGGTAACATTATGTAATATAACAACCATTGTTAATATCCTATCACCTTGTTTTGAAATTCTGTATCATTTTAATTGTTCTCTATGCTGTTTTGCTTATGTATCTGTTTTTGTTATTTTGTTTTTTTTCTTTTCTCTTTAAAATAAAAAACAAAATTTATGTGTATATATAAGGACAGCTGGAATAGGTGTATTGCTGATGTCTGTGGCTTATTGAAAGGAACGGCCAATGCTTAAAATTTTCTTATTTCTTGACCAATTTTGCACGCTTGAATCTGGTAATCAGAGTGACTGATCTGAAAACAACAATATGTAGTATAGGAACCATTGTTGAACTCCTACCATCTTGTATGGTGAAGCTCCACATCATTTCCAATTTTTTTTTTTTATTACTTGTTACTGTCTGATTGTTTGATCAGTCTTATATTCTTACGTCTGGTGGACTGAGCAACTTCATTGAAGATAAACACTATGTAATGTGGCAACCACTGTAAATGTCTATCATTTTGTTTTGAGGTCATGTATCATTTTTGTGCTTTGATTTTGTCTTCATTGTTGTTTTGTTGTTTAATCTTTAAAATAAAAAAAGGTGAGTATAAACTTAATTTTCTATAGTGCTCTTATGGGGCGGGTTAAAAGTAGACGGTTTCAGGTGTCTGCCAAGTCCACGTGAGCGCCTAGACTTGACATAGTATCTCTGGCATCAAGCTACAGTGTTTTCTGTCATTTCTCAACGTGGGGTCTCAGGCTCCCACAAACCCTGTGAGAATTATAGTATCAGCTCACACCTCATCCCATCTCCTTTTATGTATGTTTTAGACTTGTTCTAACAGTGAGGTTTCTCTTTCTAGGACCCAGAATTGCCTTATTTGTGACTTTCCTCTCTCTTCCCATCAAAGGCTTTAATCAGTGAAAACTGTAGTTTTCTTCCCAAATGTAGTAGACTTGACTGACTGCAGGGAGAGAAAAGAAACTGGGTTCCCTGAAAGCACATCTGGAAAAGGCTTTGAGGAACGAATTCTCAGAGTCATCCTGTTGGCTGTCCTCTCCTTTGGTGACCTCCACCATGTGGCAGCAGTGAAACCAGAAGCTTTGAGAGGCTGTGGATCTGGACGTGACCCCCTCTGGTAGCAAGAAGCAAGGCTGCGGTTGACCTGCATCATGGTCCCGCTGCTCCCAGCCGCGAGAAAGGAGGCTGTCCACTGGTAAGTGAGGACAATGCGCCTCACCCCAGCATCTGCGGATGGTGAAGAGTCATTCCACGCCCCTTGTCTGTCATTTCCCTTCTGTGAGCAGAGCTCCCAGCTGGGTTTGGTTCAGGCTGTCCAAAGCCCCCACGTTGGTTCCTTGGGACTCCTGGTCACCCTGTGGCGGCGGTGGGTTGAAAGGCATCACTTGGACATTAGCGGACCTCGAAGAGGTGGACGCTGAGAAGCACCCGGGGAGTAAGCGGGGCTCCAGAATGCGCTTGTCCTCTTGCTGGCCAGTGGCCAACAGTGATGACAACAGCTGCCTGAACCCAACTCAGCCCACCCCACTCTGCTGAGCGACAGGCTGCCCTCGTGCACCCTAGTGACGGTCTTGACACTGTTACCAAGCAGGTCCTCTGCTCTCCTTGGGACTGATTGAATAAGTCCTGGGGCAGCGCATGAATATGCAACTGTAACTAGTAATTCTGTTGGTGTCTATCATCGAAACAATTACAAAACAAAACAAAACAGCAAGAACACTGTCCCAGAGGGAACGCTGCCCCTGGATCTCACATCACGCACTGCGACGCCTGTCATCTCCAGGTTGCGGTGGGGTCTCCTGAGGGCCGTGTGTCGTGGTACCCAGTTTACTGCAGGCTCGGGCATTCGGGTGTGGACTCGCAGAGTGGTACAGCCGGGCATCGTAGAGTCACCTACTCCCGTGGCTCACAAGTCAGGGGAGTCTGTTATTGTTGTTGTTGTTAAAGTAAAAGATTTCTTGTGTAACCCCCAGAAATTCTAATGCTCTGCCTAGGTCTAAGCTGGAGAGACTGCCAATAGAGCCCAAATCCGCTGATTTTGCAGCTGAAACTAAAGCCCCCAGAGAATGCAAGTGGTTCACCTGGAGTCACACAGTGGCTGTAATAGACAGATATGCATTTGTTCTGACTTCTCCCCAAGTGTTTCTCACATATTCAGCCAACAAAATTGATTTTTATTTTGCATCAGGCGTTCATGTGACTTTGGAAACAAAATCCCTGTGCTTTCAGAGCTCCAATCTGGTAGGAGAACGAGACTGGGTTACCAGGGTCCCAGGGCAGTGAAAAAGATTCTAACAAGAGGCTCCTGGCTCCTCTGCCCCCTGGTATGGCTCCTGTGGAGGGAGGCAGGGCCCCCCGGAGGGCAGACTCAGTGTCCGCAGGCATGGAGCCTCCATCCCCACCCAGGAAGGGGTTCTGGGATGAGATATTTTCACACGGGTGATGGTGCATGCCTGTCACGTTCCGCCTGAGCTGGCTCAGCCCTGCTCTTTAGCAGCTGCGTCTGGAGCTGGAGACAAGGACGTGGTTCTGTGGCAGCTCTGGGGTGCAGGGGCATGGTGAGGGGGGACCCCTCTTTAAAGGCTGTTGCTCAGCCTGCCTCATTCTTGGCTGCAGTCTTGGTAAGAAGACCCCACTGTTACCAAGGGATAAAAGGACACAGTGACCCTGGTCCTATGCCCACTGTTGCCCCGGCATCCCCCCACCCACCACTCGAGCCTCCGAGCTGCCAGGTGCAGATGTCCTGAACTCCAGCCCTGCCTCGGGCAGCCTGGACCTGGTCCTGCCTCTGCTCAAAGATCAGCCTCTGTGCAGGACCTGGAGAATGGGTCTCTCCACCCACTGTGACCCAGCGTGCTCTCTGTGACCTGATCCCTCCCCGGGGCCCTGCTCCTCCCCCTCTGGCTCCCTGTGGCCACACTGGGCGGACCTGTGTGGTCTGCTCGCGCCTGGCCCTCTGAGTTCCAGTGCTCACGTGCAGCGGCCCCTCCAGACCCTGAGCGCTCCCTGCTTGGCGGTCTCTGCTCCGCTTCTGCGTGGGCTCCTCACAGTCACCTTCCCACGGCCTGACCCACGCCTCGAGGCTGCTGCTCCACAGAGGAACTCACCCGTCCCTTCCTCCAGGGCACCTGAGCCCCAGCTGTGACGTCCCTCTGGCCGCTGTCACTCTGACCCCTCTCCGAGTCCCATTCTGGCCCCTAGTGCCCTGGGAATGCTCCAGGCAGGTCCCCAGGACACCTTCAGCTCATGGCTTCTGTGAAAGACACTGATTATTTGTCATGGTGCAGGCTGAGCCCAAGGGACACCCATGCCGGCAGCGCTGCACCCCGACCACGCCACCAGCCTCAGTCTACAGCTATGCAGGCCACACGCTGCTCCCGCCTCTGGACATGCTGGGGACACGGTGTGTGAGGGCTGGGGAGGGGCTGCTGATGAAGCATCCATAAGGCCAGAGGAGCCAAGCGCTTCTCTCTGAGAAAGGGAGTGGTACCCCGAGAGAAAGGCCCTGTGGAGGTTGGGTGGGGCGGGAGGCCCTGGCCATGAAGGTCCGGGAGGGTCCGGGCGGACAGAAGGGTGTGTGCGGAGGAGGGCGGGAGCCAGACACAGGCAGAGCGAGAGGGAGGAAGATGGGCCACAGGGAAGGGCAGATACAGAGAGAGAGGCGCAGGAGAGAGACAGAGAAAGGCGAGGGACACAGAATCAGAGAGAGGGAGACAGAGAGAGGGGGATGCTGTGGCTTTCCCAGAAAGTGGGGGTGCTGTGGGGAGAATTTTAAAAGGAGCTTTTTGAGTGACCATATGATACTTAATGGAACTCCTCTCCCCTTCCCTGTGCTCCCCTCTCTCCCTTCTCTCCCCCTCCCCTCTCCTCTGTGCTCCTCACCTTTATTTGCTTTTCTGTTAAACCCCACGTTCTCCATTGCATGCAGCATGGTTGCTGATCTTCCTGTTAGGTGGACAAGGTCTGTCCCCTTGGCCAGCCTTTAGCCATGCCCCTGGGTGCCGTCTCCTCACCTGGCCTCACCCAGGCACTGGAACCTTTGGTCTACACAGCAGGTCTGACAGACTCCCGCTGGTTGTTCCCACCCTTGGGACCTGGTTTTCCTGCCTTCATGTGGTAGGGCGAGCAAGGGTGCCTGGCCCTGGGTGTCCCTCCGTGACAGCCCTTACGCCTGGGCCTGCTGCCTTGGTGGGAGGGGTTGAATCTGATGTCTTGGCTCTTGGCCAGGGTCTAGACCGAAGTTTTCCTCCCTCACCCCTCTAACAATGCTGAAAACTGTGGACTCCACAGCGCAGTGGGCCCTTGGGAACAGGGTCTGCATCAGCCCCACCTCCCTTCCTGCCTGAGACACCATGGGAGTGTTTGGGGGGGTTTCAGCCAGAGTTCAGGGAACTCACTTTAGTCCTATAAACTCAAGAGCATCAGAGGCTGTTTATACGACACTGGTCATAACTCTCTGAAATACAGACAAAACCGTCCTATTTTCTGCTCAACTTTTATGTTTTATTTTCTGCACAAACAAAATTAAGCAATAATCAAATATTACCCACACCATATCCTTATCTTGAATTGCTTATGGGGTGTTAAAAGTCCCATAGCATGCACAATAGACATTGTGAAATGGGAAGAAATTGTTCAAAAGGATAAAGGAACTAGGATGGGGGAAAGGGGAAAGGAAGGAAGGGAAAAGGAAAAAAAATACAAGATAGTTATATTACTAGTGTCGTTTAGTCACTGAAAAGGAAGGTTTCCTCTAATATCATTTGGAGAAGCTTTTATGCCCATATCTTGTACTCTGATAAACTACTTTGAAGATAACAATACTCAATCATTAGCTATTGTTATTCTCCTATTACTGTGTTATGAAATTTTGTTTTATTTTTTTTCCATAAAAAAACCTCCTACAGTAAAGGGGACAAGGTACAGTGGACACAGCTCAGACCCCACCCTGGGGACCTTAGAGGTGGTGGGGACGTGTGGGACCCCCTTCCCTCTGCTCTCCTTGCCCAGCGGGGACAAACAACCCCTGCAAGCAGCCATCGCACACCACCCAGGGGGCCCCTGTGAGCTGTGAGGACAAGGCCATCTCTGTATACCTTGGGCCATCTTTGCGGGAAAATGTAAACTTCACTTTTCCCAGCTTACTGGTGGAAACACGCAGTAGATGAGAATGCTACAAGAGAAAGCAAAGGAATTCTGTGCACGGGAAACAACCTCAGAAGACCTCCCTGCCCCTGGGGTGGTGGAGGTCACGGATCCTGGGGTTGGGGTGCCCCCTTTTCTGGGGGTGCAGGCAGCGGCTCACAGGAAGAGCCGCGCCCACTGCCTGAGATGCTCCGAAGCCCTGGGCTTGCGGTGCCCCTCTGGGTGGGACCTGCCCCGTCAAAGCTTCCTGTGTGGCTTGCACTTGGGTCACAGGCTCAGATTCCCCATTTCCCATTTCAGAAATGACGAGCACGCCCGGGAGAGGGCTCAGACCAGTCATGTCCTCCACGCTGGCGACAGAGTGAAGCCGCTGAGGTGATGAGTGGCCAGCGAGGACCATGCTCCCTTGGGGCTGGCTGTTTCTTTGGCTTCTGGGCACACAGAGGATTGCAGGCTTGAGCACGGCAGGTAGGAGTCTCACTTCTCCCTCTCACACTCGGGGCCTGTGGTGAAAGCCCAAAGTGACAGGTGATCTGACAGATAAGCAGCGTGACATATTTGTACAGGGCACTTCCTTCCTACCGTTAGCCGGGGAGGAGGAGGAGGCCGATCGCTTGAACTGCCTTCAGCTAACACCGGGTGAAGGAGGGCCCGGTCCGCACAGCGATGTCTGTGGGGCCCTGGAAGAGGACCTGGAACACTCGAGAAGCCAGGTCCTGGCCTTGCTGCAGCCACCTGGCAGGGGGTTGGGACGTGTGTGCATCCCTGCACGACAGACTTAGTGCAGCAGACAGACACACACGCAGTTCTCCACGATGCGCTGTGCTCCTCGTGCACACGAGCTTGTGTTCCCTCTGCTGATGTGGTTGCGTGTTGCTTGTTATTGTGGTTTTCAGAGTGTCCCACAAAGAACCTCCTCTGGACGTATTCCCCAGGGAGGGAAGAGGAGTTTGTCTTGTTTTGTGATGTGTTGGAGCCACAGAGACCACGTTTCTCCCACGGAAGTCAACACAGCCCAACCCAGGTCCCCGGAGCCCTGCCCTGCAGCGGTAGCGAGGACCTCAGCGGTGTCCAGTGGTACCTACAACGTGGGGACACGGGTCCCCTTGAGGAGATTGCTGGCGGCCACCCTCACATCACTCAGATCAAGAGTGTGCTTCACTTCAGTGCCCCAGAGATGGCGGAGGCTGGGACATACGTTTGTAGAGCCAGGATTAGGTCTGTCCCAGATGCTCCTATCGGCAAGCATCCCAAATTCTCGACTCTCACGGTGAATGCCTGTGTTCACAGGACTCGTGTCTCTCCTAGGCGTGCCCCGGATGTGGATGTGGCTTACTGTCTCAAGACCGTGCTGGAGGTGAGGCCTCATACCGTGGCCCCTTGCAATGCCTCTGCACCCCATAAGCAATACCTGCTTCTCGGAACCGTCGGCGCCATTCACTGCCCTGGTCTCAGCTGTCGAGAAGACGCACACAGGGCGGAGGTGACCTGGTACCAGGTACGGACGAGTTCTCTGAGATCCTGGCAGGAGCGCTCTTCCTTGTGGTGACATCTCCCACAGAGCTTTGCGGAAGTGTGGGTTTGAGGCTCTGAATCAGAGCTATCCACGGGTCCCAGGGCCTGTGCAGGGACCTCATGTCGCAAATGGTCTTGGCCCCATGTCTTAGGATTACTAGAGTCATCTTTCCAGTCAATACCAGAAAGATTTCCAGCCTTCATGTGTATCTGTGACGCATAGGGTAAGGTGTAAGGTTCCTGATGTGGGCTGCTGCAGGGGCCCAGGTGAGCTCACCTAACTGCCCCAGGAGCAGGGGCTTTGCCAGGGGTCGGGCACCCTAAGAAGACATCTCCAAGGGTTTGGGAAAGAAACAGGAGACAAACCGGGTGTGGTGGCACACACCTGTAATCCCAGCACTCGAGAGGCTGAGGCAGGAGAATCACTGAGAGTTTGAGGCCAGTCTGGGCTAGATAGTGAGACCCTGATTCAAAAAAAAAAAAAAAGATAGAGAGAGAAAGAGGAAGAAAGAAAGAAAGAAAGAAAGAAAAGAAAAAAAAAGAAAAGAAAGAAAGAAAGAAAGAAAAAGAGGGAGGAGGGGAAGCATCTTTGCCAGATGTCCCATCTGGACTAATTGGCCTCCACGATGCCTGTAACTGTTAGAAGTCCAGTCTTTGTTTTTAGAAGTCCAATCTTTTGCCTTAAAAAATCATGCAAAATTTTGAATTTGACTTTGTAGTATATGTGTTTGCTAATATAGAAATATCACCTGGAATTGCCACTGGTGGAAGTCAAACATGTGGGCCACGTGGCTTGTTGTTTTATGCACCTTGAAACTCAACAGGGAGAGATTCTTGGGGCACAGTCACATGGTGCAAGATGATGCCAGCTCACTCGATTCTTTGTTTTGGAGTTTTGAGACAAGATCTCACTCTGTTACTCAGACTGTCCTTCAGCTCACTTTGTAGCCTGGGCTGGCCTTGCACTCACAGCGATCCCCCTGCCTCAGCCTCCTGAGTGCTGGGATTACTGGCTCACTTGATTCTTGTGACTGGACTGAGAGGCAGACAGATGTTATCATACTTGTTACTGAAGAGAGGGCAAATAATGTGACATCTGACCTCACATTTGTGTTTCAGAGTGATGGAAGGAATGATCGCCACAAAGGGATTCTAATTTTAATAACAAACTAATATCTTCAACTTTAAAAAATGTGGTCACTGAGAAATGCCAGCCATTCTGCGTGGTGTTTTCAGTTCTCTTGCAAAGAATGAAACTTTGCTTTGTTTAGAGTGTTGCCCCTGCGATGTCAGCTGTCTCACTGTCCCAGTGGCTGTTCCTGGGACAGTGAGGTGGCCTCTGCCCCAGGGATTTCACAGGGTCATGCGTGTGCATGGTCGACACCGTGCACCGGGCCGACTGCTGTTGGCGTCTGAGTCGGGTGTGACTGGGTCACACAGCAGCCCAGCTCTTGGCGCTGAACCCTGGGCCACAAGACAGCCGTGGGGAGGCTTTCATGCTTCTCTGGGCCTTTGACAGCAAATGTCATCGGGTGTTCCATGCTGCGCGGCCACCGTCCTAACAGAGGGAGCAATGGTGGCTGTTGCCAGTTCCTTCCTTTTCCTTAATTTTAAAAAAAGTTCCATGTTTTTTATTAGTACATGTTGGCCGCACAGTCTACTGCGTTTCACTCTGGCACATGTGTCCACGCACAAGACACACTCTCACCACCCCACCACCCCTCACCCGATTGCCCTCCTAGCTCCACATGGTTTTGGAGGGGTGGGGGTGCTCAGTGTGTGTAATTATTTGGATCACATTCACGCTCCCTATTGTACCTGCCCGCAGAGTTGGGCAGGTCCTGCTTCAGCTTACGCTTCATAAAGTGCATGCACTTTATGAAGTGCACACTCAGGTCTCGAGTGTGTGCACACTCAAACATGTGCCTGTGTGTGCTGCACACAGTGGCCAGGCAGTCACAGGCCTCAGGGCAGTGGCACTGCACTGGTGGTGAGGGCGTCGGGCAGGACAGAGCCCACCTCGGGTCGGACCCTGCAGCCACCTCTGAGCAGACACAGCTGTGCTGCCCGGGTGGGCATGGACAGTGACACGTGGGAGAGTCACACGAGGCAGAGGTACGCAGTGTCCCACCGAATCTGAATACTTTTCACAGACACAAGAGCTTAGGCTCGGAGATTTTTTCTTTTATGGAAAAAAATAACAAAATTTCATAACAAAATCAGACAAATAACAAGCTAGTACACCATGTGACATCTTCAAAGTAGTTACTCAGAGACAAAAAAACATTTTCTCCTATGAGGAAAATACACAATGGCAGGAAACTTTTCCTTTCCATGACCTCAGAGAAACTAGTAGTATAAGTGAAATGGATTAGCATTTATATCAAAATATTTCAATACAGAGGAACAGGTAACTCGGAGAATTATTTGATCTTCTTTTTAAAAATTTATTTTCAACCTCTTTATATTAGTGTTTTATTTTTATTATGTTTTAATGAGCAAATCGTAATTGTCCACATTGCTGGTGTACAACATGGTGTATTGATATGTGCGTGTACTGTGGAACTTTTAAGTCAGGCTAGTTGATATATGCCTGGCATTGCTTACTTACATCCTTTTTTAAAATAGGATATTTGTAACTGCTCTCTCAGTTATGGTGAAATAAGCTGTACATTACTGTTGACCAACATCACCCTTCCTTCCCACCCTCGACCTCCGTGGCTACCACTCTGCTCTCGCTTCTGTGAGGTTGACTGTTTTGGACGCACACAGGAGGGAGACCAGGCAGTACTTGCTTCTGTGAGCAGCTTGTTTCACTTAGCGGGTTGCCATCCAGATCTGTCCGTGTGCTCACAAATGGCAAGATGTCCCTCTTGATAAGGCTGCGTAGTATTCCTTTGTGATTGTTTGTCTGTTTTAAGACAAGTTCTCACTGTGCAGTCAGGATGGCCTTGAACTCAGCATGTAGCTCAGGCTGGCCTCAAACTTAAGGCAATCCTCCTGCTTCAGCCTGCTGAGTGGTGGGATTGCAGGCGTGTGCCATCAAGCCCAGCCTTCCCTTGTGTCTAACACATTTACTCATACTTTCATCTGCTTGTGGACACTCAGGTCCGCTCCATGGCTTGGCTCTTGGGAGTTGTGTTGAGGTAAACAGGAAGGCACTCATCCCTTCAGCATCGGTCACTTTGGGATTCTGCCCACAAGCAGGCTGCTTCATCACCTGGTACTTCCATTGTTAGCGTTTCTGAGGGACCGCAGTGCTTTGTGTAAAGATGGTAGCAATTTATATTCCCATCAACAACGTTTAAGAGTTTCTTTTTTCTGCCTCCTCACCGACACTTGTTACCTCTTTTGTGTTTTACAAAAAGCACTCTAAGAGATGTGAGCTAACATCTCCTGTGGGCTTAATTTGCATGTCCCTGGTGATTAGATTATTATTATTTTTTTTTTTTGGTTTTTCTCCAGTACCGGGAACCGAACTCACGACCTTGTGCATGCCAGGCAGGCGCTTTTGCCGCTGAGCTAAATCCCCAGCCCCAGTGATTAGATTATTTTTGTCTACGGTGGGAGATGAGGGTCCAGTTTCAACCCTTCACCATGTGGCTAAGCACTTTCCCAACACCACTCCTTGAAGAGACCGCCTTCCCCCTCCCCCGTTGTGGGCCCCTGGCCTCTTCCTCTGAAATCAGCTGCCCTAAATGTGGGGCTCTGCTTCTGCACTTCCCATCCTGTTCCAGCGGCCGATGAGTCAGTTTCCATGCCAGCACTGCGCTGCTGGGATGACCGGCACTGTACGGAGCAGCTGAAACCATGGCGTCTGCTGCGTCCAGCTTTGTTCCTTTTGCTTGAGATTGTTCTGGCTCTTTGAGGTCTCTTGAACTTAAGGATTTTTGTTCTCTATATCTGTAAAAAATAACATCAGAAATTTGATCTCTCTCTCGCACTGTTTTTCTCTGTCTCTGTTTCTCTCTCTGTCTCTGTTTCTCTCTCTGTCTCTCTCTTTCTCTCTCTCTCACACACACACACACATACACAGGTTTGAGGCCTCACCACATCCCCTATAAGACTCCCCGTACTGGTAAGACCCTACGTGAACTGAAAGAGACGAAATGGAAAAAAGACATTCCATCCAAATGCAAACCAAAAGAGGGTAGCTATATTTCCATCAGAAAGAAATAGACATTGATCTTAGTTTTTTAATCCATTAAAAAAATTCTGTCTTTTTGATTTTCAAGAGGCAGGCGCTTCCTACCTACATTTTACAATTTATTTTGTGCTAGTTTTGAAGGTCATTTTCTTCTTTCCTTCTTGCTGTCTCCTTTTGTATTTTGTTGGTTTTCAGTGGTTGTACGCTTTGAATCCTCTTTTCATAGATTATACATTTACCATGATTTCTTGTTTTGTGTTTATCATAAGTCTTACAGAAAAGTCTTATCCTTTTAACAAACTATTTTATGCTAATAACAACTTAACTTTACATACAAAAGTTACTTTCCTTCCCTCCCACTTTTTATGACTTTGATATCAAAATTCATAGAGTTCTGTAATTTGTATCCCTTAACAATTTATTATAGTTGTGGTTGTATTTAATAGTTTTGTTTTTTACCCCTAATACTGGGATACAGTTGTTTTACATAACACTATTATAGTATTAAATAACATGAATGTGATTGCATATTACTTATAACATTGATTTATTTTACTTTCACATTTTTGTTATTAATTGTCAGACATTTATGTCAACTTCATGAATTTCCTTCAGTAGTTGTTGTAGAGTAGACCTAGTGGTGATGACCTGTCTTAGCTTTTGTTTGTCTATAAAAGTTATTATTTTTCTCCCACTTCTGAAAGGCAGGTTTTTTAGGCAAAATATTCTTGTTTGGCAGATTTTTCTTTAGTACTTTGAATTTGTCATCTTTTCTTCATTCTTTCTCATTCTTTTTATTTTTTCTATCCTACTGGACAATTTCAGATTCCCTGATC